CAACCCTCACTGCATACTCCTACGATAAAAATAATGCCCTAAAATATAATACTTTTAGACTATTCTCTCCCCCATAGACTTCAATGCCGTAAACACATTCCATCCAGTTTTTCTCAGTCTTACCCCCACCCCAATGCCAGCCTCATTCTACAACAGTGGCACCATATAACATCCCAGCTCTGTTTCAATGCAGTATACATAATTTATCCAATTTTTCTCAATCTTACTCCACCCTTGAGCTCAGTCCTATTCTACAATAGTGGCATTATGCAGTATTTGTTCTTTGAACAAGTATTCTTAAAAGAAGAAAGGAATGTGTGGGGAAACTGTTCAGCTTTAAGCATCTTAGAGTATGTAATTTATGTCTGCAACACCAGCATGGCTTCAAACGAGCCCTCAAAGCCACAGTTAGTGATTATATAGAAGAATAAGAATTCTCATATACTTTCTGAGGGAGAATAAAAAAAATATTTTAGTGGGGAAATTTGGAAATGTAGTATGTTGTTTATTGTTGTTATGTGCCGTCGAGTCGTTTGCGACTCATAGCGACCCTATGTACAACAGCCCTAAACTGTGCTCTATCCTGTGCCAATCTCATTGCCTCTGACAAACCCATCCCGAGTGCCCTGGTCACTGAATCAATCCACCTCATAGAGGGTCTTCCCCTCCTGTGCTGTCCCTCCACTCTACCCAGCATGATGTCCCTCTCTAAAGACCTATCTCTCCTTACAACACGTCCGAAGTATGTCAGACGAAGCCCCAGAATCCTTGCCTCCAAGGAGCAGCTTGGTTTAATCCTCTCTAGGGTGAATCTGTTTGTTTTCTTGACAGTCCATGGTACATTCAATACTCTTCTCCAGCACCACAGCTCAAAGGCGTCAATTCTCCTTCTATCCTCTCTGGTCATTGTCCAATTCTCTGATGCATAACAAGTGATTGCAAAAACCATGGCCTGTATCAGGCGGACCTTAGTTTCCAGAGAGACACTGTTGCTCTTCAGTGTTTTGGAGAGGTCCCTAACCGCAGACTTTCCCATCACAATATGTTTTTTGATTTCCTGCCTACTGGTGCTAAGAGTGTTGACCGTGGAGCTGAGCAAACTGAAGCTGTGAACAATCTCAATCTCTTCGCCATCCATCCTGATGCTACCAATTGGTCCAGCGGTGAGAATCTTTGTCTTCTTGACATTGAGCCTCAGTCCATTCTAAAGGCTGCAGTCCTTGACCCT